CAACTGGGTGACTATGAGCCAATCACCAGGAGGCAGTGAGTTCTAGTTCAGCCTTAAACATGAAAACTGCCTGGGTGACTTTGGGCCAGTCCCTCTTTCTCCTAGTCCAACTCAACTCATAAGGTTGTTTGGGGGGAAATGAGAGGAGGAAGATGTGTTGGATATGTTTGCCACCTTGAGTTATTAGTAAAAATTATAAAGGGAGAGATACAAATAAGCAAGCCAAATCAAAAATTAAACATATCCTGTCTTTACTGGGAGAACTCCAAGCGGAGCATAATGTTACTACCTAGATCAACCACCTACTACCTAGATCAACCACAACAACCCTTTGAAGTGGCCTGGGCAGAAAGAGAAAGAGGGACTGGCCCAAATAACCTGGACAGCTTTCATACCCATGGCAGGACGAGAACTTACCATCTCCCAGTGTCTACTCTAGCATCTTAACCACTGCACCGAACTACCTATAGATAAGATAGTCTTTCGGTTATGAGGAGAGGGAGATCAGGCCCAGGCCCAGATAAAGGTCATAAAATGAAATTGCATTGTTTACAATGGTAATTCCTGCAGTCTGGTTGTGGGGACTCCATTGGGTCACTAAGCAGGAATTGGCAGGAATCCCAGAATGGGGTGGGTTCTACTGGTGGGGAGGGGAGGCTGGAAGAGGTGGTGGGAGGGCTAACACAGGCCATGTGCAGGCGGGGGGGGGGTGAGGGAGGGTCCTATGAGTGGAAGAAAAAAGGAGGAGGAATGACTCACCACGTCAACTTGCGACCTTCCCTGCCTACTTCCCCACTGACTTTGCTTGTGCAAGGAAGATCAGATGCGTCCACAGCTTGCCGTGATGTTATAAATGCAAGCTAGGCATCTGAGAGCCAATGCTGCAATAGCCAAAACTTCCAAGGACCGGTCATAAATTGTGGTTTTTTTTTCCGCCAGCAATGTCATAATTTTGAATGATTGCCGAATGAATGGACGTAAGACGAGGATTACCTGGAAGCCAAACCACACCAACCATGTGTATTGCACCTGTGTATCTAACCAACCTATCACATCTAATCTATTGTATATAATGTATTAATCCTATCTACCCTACCCATCTAATCCTGTGTTTCTCAACCTTGTCAACACTTTTAAGATATGCAGCCTTCAGTTGGCTGGGGAATTCTGGGAGTTGAAGTCCATCATTTTAGTTTTTTCCAAGTTTGTGGAATAGTGATCCACTTGTGTCTGTCTGTCTGTCCGTCCATCCATCCAACCAATCAACCAACTAACCAACCCACCTACCTACCTTCTATAGGGTCTTCCTTGATGCAATTTCTTTAACCCAATCCAAGAATGTTGATTTATTTCTTAACTGTCTTGCAGATGTGATGCCCTACAACTGTCATCTACCCAGGCAGCTGTAATTGAGACAACTGATGTGTATATTAGCACATTCCTAACAACTGTGCAGGTAAATTATGGACCTCTGGTTTTCCCCAGAGAGCTTCAACTGCTCTTCTGATAATTCTACTATTCTAAAAGGTGACTACTTGGGAAAATTATGAACCCATTTAAAAGTGAATTAAGTGGTTTAAAAGTACAGTAAAATCTACATTTAATGGGCTGTGAGAATGTTTGTGAGAAATGGGTGTTTTTTTCATCCCAATGTCCATTACGTCTGAATTGATATCATTTGAACTAATCGGCTTATTTTGCATAATTGATCTAAATAGCAATATTTGCAGTTTAAATCTACATTGAATGAACAAAGCCTTGATGTAACAGACATTAAATGAGAGAGAAGCCTCAAGGGGAAAAAATGTAGCCACTGTATCTGATTTCCATTGAAGTGATATGTGTTAAACTGAAAGTTAACTACATTTTTTTTCCCTCCCTGCCTTGATGTATTTGCAGAATTGTCCTTCTGTGAAAGGGTTGAGTTCTTTCAACAGAACATTCTCAGCATTCTGAGCAAATAAAAATTCCTCATTGCTTTCAAGAAAGATAAGAAGTTTCTTCATGTACCAAACGCTTAGTTGGGAATCAGATGCAAAAGCTGAACATAACCTTAAAGATCATCCAACCTGACCCCCATCCCTGCACCGAAACCCATTACTATAACAGCCCAGATGTCTGTCAGCCTGCTTTAACAACTCCAGCAAAAGAAAATCCACTATTTCCTGGGACAGTTGGTTAAATTGTATGCTCCTATGGTTAAGGCAAACACTCTTCCCTTATAATTAAAACCCACTGTTCCTTTTTCTGTTTTATGGAACATTTCTGATCAACTCTACCCCATCTTCCAATAACAACCATTCAGATACTTGTAACAGCTATCGTGGGAATAAAGAAGAAAAACAGAATTCTCTTTCACCCAGAGAAATATCTATTAACTGCTAAAACTCTTCTGTCTGTAACCTTTAACTGGGCGAAATGGTGTACCAAAGTATGTCAAACAGACTAGCTTACAAAATGCACCCAAAATCCGGGCCCCTTTGGAATTGCCGTTTTAAATTTTATAGAACATTTTATGACCTAAGCGCAATCCAGAAAGAGTTTATGACAAGAGAAGAAAACATTATAAAATATTTCCTGTGCTGGTACGTGATTGTGCTGTTACAGTTCGACATGGGCTGCTTTCAAAGCAGATACATCTGAATGCATCCCAGTTTTATCAACCTAGGCAGTAAATTAGATATTCTACCAGTGTTGAAAACATTGAGGAATCTGGTAGAGGAAATACCTTTAAAACAATGACTCAACGGGCAGTGGTAGGGTTCAAATAATTTAACAACTGGTTCTCTGCCCTAAGGATTTCTTCCAACAATCAGTTCACCAAACTGCTCCGCAAGTTAACAACCGGTTCTCCCGAAGTGGTGCAAAATGGCTGAATCCCACCACTGTCAATAGAGCACCGGTTGTCTAATAGTTTTTTCTTTAAAACACACACACACACACACACACACACACATAGCAGTCTCACCATTCACGCCGCAATGCCATATTTAGGCTAACTCACCAAACGCAGAGCCCGGATCTGCTGCTAAATTCCAGGAACATTCGAAACCACTTCTTCCAGACACCGGAATGCAGGAAACCAACATGGGTGACCAAAGTGTTGCCCTGCAATTCAGTTTTAAGCTTAAGCAAACACATTGTTGATGTACACGTAATTAGACGTAATTGTTAGCTGTGCCCTGTATTTAATCCTTTCATCTGAAATGGTAACAAGATGGAAGAGGCATTTTCAAAAGCCATCATGGAAATAATTATCAAGCCCAATCCAATTCTAGTTCCCATAACATTCTGATGGGTTTCTTTTCTTTTCCTTTTTCCTTCCTTCCTTCTCTCACTTTCTCTACCCTCTTCCTTTCTCCCCTCTTCTATTTCTTTCCTTCCTCCCTCCCTATCTCATTTCCCATTTCTCTCCCCTCTGCCTGTCATTTCTCTACCTTTTCTTCCTTCCTCATTTCCCTTCCTTCCTCTCTCCTCCCTTCTTCCATTTTCTTCTCATTTTCTATTTCTTCCTCCCTCCCTATCTCATTTCCTTCCTCTCCCCTTCTTCCCCTCCCTTGTAATTTTTCGTCCTTCCTCACTTCCCTTTTCATTTCCCTTCCTTCCTCTCTCCTCCCCCTTCCTTCTTCCACTTTCTTCTCATCTTCCTTCCTCCCTCCCTTTCTCCTCTCTCCTTTCCTCCCTTCCCTTCTCATTTTCTTTCCTCCCTCCCTCCCTCCTGCCCTATCTCATTTCCTTTCTCTCCCCTTCCTTCTTCCCTTCACTCCCTTTTCGTCCTTCCTCACTTCCCATCTCATTTTCCTTGCTTCCTCTCTCTTCCCTCTTTTTTCCTCCATTCTCTTCTCATCGTCCTTCCTCCCTCCCTTTCTCCTCTCTCTTTCCTCCTTTCCCTTCTTATTTTACTGCCTCCCTTACCTGTCCTCCCATATCCTTTCATCAGATAATGCCATTCTAACCGTATAAACACTTAAAAACTATTCAGGAAGTCCAGCAACTTCAGACCTCATTCTCATATCTTTTAACCCAAATTTATAAAAGTTTAAATCTGGGTTAATTTCTTGTGGGAGAGGGATTTAAATGAGGGACACAGGACGCGCGTCCCACCCAGGGATCCCTGTTCTGCTCCTGCAGCAGAAACATTTTTTAAAATGGGGATTTCATTTTTTAAAAAAGTTTTTTTATTTTTATGTTTCAAAAAAAATATCTCTTTTAGTGAACAGCATATTTCTCACGCTTATATATATTTTCTATTCCTATCTTAACTTCATTCTATACTCATTGTACTACTCTTTTTATCTGTCACATTTGCAAATTCATCAGATGCTCTTAGTTCTTTCTTCAAAAAATTCATCCTAGTTCTAAAATTCAAAAATTCAAAGATCTTCCCCTTTAACTACTAAATTGATGTACCACCCCTTTGTCTTATACATGATTCAATTAACTTCCCTTTAATTCATAATAATAATTTATCATAGTATAATCATATTTTAGTTAACACATGTATATTTTAAGGCAGATTCCGAGTATTTTCCCCTTGATTACGTTCTAATTCATTTATTATTTCAAATACATTAATCTATTCAATATACCTTAAAAACTGATGTTATACCTTTAACTATATTCTTAATTTTAGTAACCATATCTAACTTACTTATCATAACTTCCCTTTAATAGGGATTTCTGATTACCTGTGCCCTGGAGGAAAGAAAGGAACATTTTGCCAATGTTAGCATCTTTGTGCTAAAAGTCCATAAACAGAACACATTCCAAGCTGTCCCAACTCATGTACTTTTGCCTAATTCTGCTGCTACCGTTGCTCAGATTTCCTAGCAGGGATGAGTAGAAGTCAGGTAGTCCTCAACTTACAAACATTCATTTAGTGACCATTCAAAGTTACAACAACATTAAAAAGAATCTATATACTGTATATATAAAAGTGAAATACCACTCATGCATCATCACAAAGTCTCCAGAACCGTAAAGCCTACAAACTTGAAATTTGGCAGGTATGTTCCTCTTGGCTTCTAGGTGCTCACTAAGAAAGGATTTTTTAAAATGACCATCAGAGCATTAATATTTCCTATATTATTATTAACACGCTCTGATGCTAAGAAGTTTTACTCTCCGTCCCCACCTGAAAAGAAATCTGTTCCAAATGCAAAACACAAGCAGAGGAGAGGAGTTTCAGTTTCAGTTTTATTTTCACATCACCAAACAGTTTTAGTACAGAACAGTTGAGCTAAGCTATGGCCAGGCTCCTTGCTGTTTCCTTCTTGCTCACACAGCAAATACTGTTTCACCTTCCAAACAGCCCTCATACTCTCTCACACACTGACAGGACGCTAGCCAGATGAATACTAATGGATGCTGGTAGGCAGAGGCAGAATTTTCCCCTCTTTATTTTCCTCCCCCAAAACTAAGCCCAACCACATAGTTTTGTAGCAAAGCAGATATCGAGCTAGTATAAAACTGTATATAGCCTGCTTCAATAAAAGCAGTATTTAGTCCTCCTGTGAAGTTGACTTCCTGGCCTGCTTTATCAAGTAAGGCTACTCCAACACCAACCCTGTGCAATGTGTGTAAGAAAGCCAATTGAAGCATCCATAACACCTCCAGGAATGGACAAACCACCAACTTTCATAATTCAACTGCTGCATTGTTCCCCGACTGCTACTTTTGGAAAGAAAAAAAATTCCCTGGAGTGAAGCTTCTGCTTTATTTGCAAAATATCAGGATCCAAAACCCATTATTCCTCTGAAAGGACCAAGACGTAACTCTTCCTAGGATGGCAGCTGCTCAAAATGGTGAATGCAGGCCAGAAATAAAACCAGTGGGATTGCACTGAGTCGCACAGCAATGGTGAACGTGAGCTGAACATGGAAAAGCAAGGACATCGGCAACCAAATGCACGTTAGTCCTTTCTATTGTGTTCCTCATAGCTGTCCATGGTTGTGAAAGTTAAGACCTTAAAAAAGCAAGACGGGAAGAAAATTGACTCGTTTGAGCTGCGGTGCTGGAGAAGGCCCTGGCGTATTCCTTGGACAGCAAAGGGAACCAACAGGCAAGTGCTGGATAGCATAAGACCAGACATGTCCTTGGAAAGCAAGAAGCACAAAATTGTGTCTCCCTTTACTTTGTGCTATGACATGTGGGGGAATTTACTGGAGAAAGCGATCATGTTTGGAAGGAGTTATAGAGGTGAAAAGGAAACCAGGACACCACAGAACACAGTGGGTGAACACCTGATCTGACCTAGGCTTCACAAAATCACAAAGGAGACTCCTTGTCCTGACAAAACCCTTTTTCATTAGGCTAATGTGAATTCCTACCACTCATATCCAGCAAAGTCCCAGCAAAGAGTCGTTTCAAGAGTGATTTACAACCACAGACTTTATCAGGCTTGGAGAGTTCCCAGGCCAATAGCTTCCAAGCGCAATGCTGTACAAGGAAATACTTGGCAAGGAGTCATGAACAAATCTAATTAAATGAACCAACTGTCTCCTGCAAACAACACTCCCCTTTCACTCCTCTTTATTCCCTATGGGAGGGGCCATTCACCGTCCACCTATGCCTTTACTCCCGAATCGATCCTTGTTCTTTAACCATTCCTTTCTCCTGGCAGCTCTGTGCATGTGCACACTGGGAACAGGCTCCAGCTGTTCTTCTTCCCAACTGATCTCCGACTCCGAAGGCAGCTGATAACTGTCAGATGGCCCTGGTACCATCTCTGCCTCTGACACAGAGCACTCCTCAGAGCCTTCCCCAGACTCCAGGACTAGCCCATGTTCCTCCCCACAACCTCCTCACTGACTGAGACCACCATCAAAGCTGACACCAGCCAGAGCATGGAACAATTCAAAGAACCAACTGCAAGGTCAGAAGATGTGGAGAGACCTGGCCCATACAATTGCCAAGAATCGGACACCACTGAATGGATAACATCATCATCATCTTCTAGAGATTCTCAGTCATCCAGGTCACATATGTCCCAAATGTGCTTTTTTAAAAGCCCGTAGGCTTTTTCTTTGTTTTTCCTTGAAGACGTTTTGTTGAACTGAAGAAGCTTCTTGGGTTGAGAAGTGAAATGTCTTCAAGAAAAAACAAAGAAAGTCTAGTTGCCTTTTGAAAAAGCACCTGTGGGATGAACATTGTCGTAAAGTTTGAGGGTGATCATCCATCAGTGCAAAACCAAAAAAAGGTTTTTTTTCCCCATGGGTAGAGGATCCATCACTCTTCCCATCTGCAACCAAGACTAAACCAAGGAAGGGAAAAAAGAGAAAGTATGGCTCACACACCTGCCCAGGTAGTCATAATCCCCAACGCACAGGTGTTCTTTGCCAAGACTCATCAAGCAACTCCACAAAGCTGTCTCAACCCAACAGGTGGGAAAGCACCTACTCATCACCGCCTTACACCCATGACGCATTCATGGCCAAGTCAAGCCAACAAGAAGGGTCAAGAGGGAAAACCCTGCCGCCTTCTCCAGGAGAACTGGAGCGCCTGGGAACAAGGCGGCTGCCTTACTTATTTATTTATATGCCTCCTCGGCGTCTCAACCCTCCAGGGCAGTGACAGCGTGAGAACCAGGGTGTATCTCTCCCGGCTTTCCAAGAAGGGCAGGGGAGGGGAAGAGCTCCCCTTCTTAATTGCTTCGCTTGTCTCCACCACGCCTGCTCCTTCCCTTCTCTGGTAAGGCAACTGAGGGCAAGCATCCAAGGCAAATGAGTCTGTCTGTCTGGAAATGCAATTTCCATGCAAGCAAAACAGGCTGGAACTGGGAAAAGGGACACCCTAACAAGAGAGGAACATACAGACAGAGAGAGATATATTCCCTTCAAATGCCAGATAGCAAATATTTTTTATTATTATTTTTAAATCAAAGGAGGATTGGCTGTTGGGAAATTTAAAACAAAGAGAACTTCCTAGCAGCTTAGTCCAAGATGGTATTTTAGGGGTGCAAATACTCCTCATCTTATGATCACAATTTATATTGCTAAGTGAGACCATTGTTAAGTGAGTTTTGTCCCAGTTTATAACTTTTCTTGCCACCATTGTTCAGAGGAGCAGGAGGAGGAGGAGAAGGAGGAGAGAAGGAGAAAGAAAGAAAG